CCGACGTTCGATGCGATCATCAAGTCGTACGACGACAAGATCGGTGTCCTCTTCAAGCGCAAGGTCGGCTCGCTCTGCGCCGACACGGACCTTCGCAAGAGCCTTGTGCGGTTCGCCGAGGCGCCGATCGGCAACTTCTTTGCCGACGCGTCCAAGGCGTTCTACACCAAGAAGACGGTCGACGCCGCGGTCATGAACGGCGGCGGCATCCGCACGGACAAGGTCTGGCCCGCGGCCGACCTCTCGATCGGCGACCTCATTTCGTGGTCGCCCTTCGGTGACTCGATCGTCGTCATCAGCACGGACGGCGCGAGCTTCAAGAAGTTTATGAACTTCAAGATGATCGACTCGTGCGGCGACAAGATTGTCGCGGAGAACGGCCATTACTTCCACATGGCCGGCATGACGTACACGTTCACTTGCAGCGGCAAGGGCGCCGGTGTGATCACGAGCCTCCAGTGGGCCACCGAAGGTCGCTCGGGCGACGTCAAGGACGACGACAAGCTCAACCTCGCGCTCTCGACGTACATGAAGGGTCTCTTCGACCAGGCGGGCGGCAAGTCTACGTGGGTCGTCAACCCGAACGAGGCGACGCGCATCGAAGCCATCTTGGAGGCGTTCACAACGAAGAACGGAGGCAGCGTCTGCCCCAAGCTCGAGGGCCGCAACAAGGTCATCCCGACGTCGGCGTCGTAAATTGTGTTGTGCAATCTTATAAACCCATCTAGTACACACGTTTCGTTTCAAATGGAATTGACAAAGTTGGTCGGATTCTATGGTTAGAACTTTACGGTATGCGAGCAGCGTGAATCAAATGCACGCATCGATCACCATCGCTTTCACTGCTACACGTTATCAACACCTCGCCGTACACTGACTTTGAACCTATTTCAAAAAACATCACGCTTAGTTAGTACGCTTCGTTTCCTGTACTACAGTAGTTCCTTTCCTAGTTGCATTGAATTGGTCCATGTAGTCCGACGCTCGGCAGTCCTATGGATACTAGTAGACACTAAAGCGACGTTGATACAAAAATGCTGTGATTTTGTTAGGATCTCGGCGGCTTCCTCCCCGACGAGTGTCGTTCGATGCACCGTGCGACCCGAGTTAGAACGAGATCGTACTGCGGCCGCCCAGCTTGGGGCACACGCTGCCGTCTTGCTTTTTCGTGTACGTCTCGAGGACGAGGTCGATGCGCGTCGCTTCGGCGGCATCGACGAGGTACTTGGCCGGCTTGCCGACAAACTGGTCAAAGAGGTCCTTCATGTACGTCGAGAGGGCAACGTTGAACGCGTCCGAATCCTTGATGTCGCCCGACTTGCCGTTGACTTCGCCGTCCCACTGGAGGCTTGTGATCGCGCCCGCCTTTTCGCCGCTGCACTTGTACGAGACCTTGACGCCGGCGATCTGCGGGTAAAAGCCGTTGAGCATGAGGTTGTTGCCCTTGTCGCACGTCTGCGCGAGCTGGGTGCCCAGAAACTTCTTGAAGCTAGCGCCGTCGGTCGCGATGACCGCAATCATATTGCCAAACGGCGACCACGAGATGAGGTCCCCGAGCGAGAATGGACCGGCCGACCACTTCTTGTCTGTGCGGATACCGCCGGCGTTCATGTAGCCGACATCGACCGCCACCTTTTTGTAGTAGTCCTTGAATGCATCGGCAAAGAAGTTGCCGATCGGCGCTTCGGATTGGCGCAGAAGCTTGGCGGTCAAGTCGGTTTCGGCGCAGAGCGAGCCGACATTGCGCTTGAAGAGCACGTTGATCTTGGCGTCGTACGACTTGATGATCTCGTCAAACGCCGGGTCGGACGGCATCTCGTTCGTGATCGCGAGGTTCTTGTGGCTCATTTTGGTGAACGCTTTGTTCAACGTCTTTGGATCCGACTGGAACGGCGCATAGTACTTGATGTCGGAGACCCAAATGCTGCGGAAGTTGAGGTCCGACTTGAGGTACGGCGTGCCAAAGTTGGTCTGGAGCATCGCCGAGTGGTCGTGGCCGCCGTAAATCATGTCGACGCCCTTGACCAGCTGCGAGAAGCGGTTGTCGTCGTCGAGAAACTGGTGCGTGAGCGCAATCACCATGTCGACCTTCTCGACCTCACGGAGCGTCTTGACGACCGGGATCGACGCGTTCACCGGGTCCATCCAGTACATGCCCGTGGTCGCGTCCTGCATATCGTACATGACACCAAAGGCGCCGATCTTGATCGTCCCCATCGTCGGCGAGTTGAGCACCTTGACCGCATACGGTTTGGTGCCGCGGAGAAGTTGGCCGGTCGACTTCTCGTACGCGTTGACGTTGAGCCAAGGAAACTTGGAGGCGGCCGAGACGTTGAGGAACGCGTCGATGCCAAAGTCAAACTCGTGGTTGCCGAGGCACGCAAAGTCGACACTGAGCGCGTTGTGGGCCTCGACCATCTGGATACCCTTGAACTGGCCGGACCAGAGCGACGGCGACATGGTGTCGCCCGCAAAGATGACCAAACTGTTGTCAAAGTTCTTGCGAAGCTTCTGTGCGATGGGGATGACACGCGAGGGGCCGCCGACGAGGACGCCATACTGCGAGGCGTCGGTCTCGTTCTGCATCTCGTACACGTCGTTGTACGAGAGCACTTGGAAGCGGGCCGTGGGCGCGCGTGCCGTGCCGCAGTCGCCGACGACGGCCGTCGCAGAGACACCGAGGAGAAGCACGAGCTTGGGGATTGTCGCTACCATGGGAGCGGGTTGGATCCAATTGGAAAATGAAATTGAAGCTCGCACTTCACGCCGTGATAGGGTCGGTCGCCACAACGGCAAGTGCACTGGGAACCCTACCCCGAGTTTTGCGTGGCCAGGGTTACTGCAGTCTTGGTTTGGCGTCGCCGAATCTCACCGCACTTGGCCCTTCTGCACCAATCACCTCCCGCGGTGGCCTCTGGCGACGGTTCTTGAATCCCGTCGCTTTGGCAATGTCGCCGAGAAGGCTCTGTTCCGTGCTGACCCTATCAACCGAAATGATATGTTTTTGTTGCAGTGGCAAACGAGTAGCTGACCAAGGCGATCGCGAGCGGCCTTGTACAGTAGTAGCTAGCAGCGCAGCGAGGCCGACGTCGACCACGCTGCTCGCTCTTGTGGCTAATCGGCGTCGTTGGAAGCATACCAGCGCAGAAACTTTATTCGACGCACAATCCGACGCACACCGTTGACGCATTACACACTCGGAGACTCAAACCCAATGCACCCTTTTGGCGCCGGGAGTCCGATGATTGGGATGCCCCAAGCATATATCGTGACGCCCAGAGGAGCGATGCGTGAAGCCCAACACGCCCAACGACCAGGCAAACCGATTTTGCTGCGACGCATCAATTGTCGATCGAACATGATGGCGTTGACAGAGTCGCTCGAGCATCCTCTCGTAGGTGCAGTGGCGCGCGTCATGGCAGCTCTGCCTCCATCCGCATCGTCTCTTTGTCTCCTCGAGAGTTTATCAAGTACGAGTACCGCAGTATACTGGACAGCTACAACCCGACGCAGACTCAAACATGCACCATCGCACCCTTCCGCGCGAAACGGCGCGATGTTGGCAACGCTTGCACTTGGCACAGATTGAAAAAATCCAATACGAAAGGCAAAGTCGAATGCGCTGCTTCAATGCAGCAGATGTTGATGCCAAGTCTGATAGAACGCCAGATCTGGTGGTCAGCGAGCACGCTGGCGTCACACCCCAACATATGTGCCAGACACTGTACCCTGCGAACCTGCTTGTCGACAAGCTACTGTGGCCACTTCTAAAAACGATGGCCAAGTGGACGTTCCTCACCGCGCTCGCGTCCTCGGCTCTCTCGCTCCATGCGTCGGTGGCCCAGACGCCGTGCGCCAACACGGACCCGTTCGAGATTTACGAGACGACGCCGTGCGGCAACAACCCGACGCCGGCACCCGCGACGACGACCCTCACGTTCTGCGCCTACAACCGCCAAGCGCTCTCCGAGTACAACGGCGACATCTTCACGGACGTGGTGCGCACCAACAAGAACGAGCAATTTGTCTACAGCCCGTCGGCCATGACGCTCGTGTCCGAGTCGAACGGCCAGTGCCTCGATGCGTACCTTGACGGCAACGGCGCGTACCAGCTGCACACGTACCAGTGCATGGAGGGCAACGGCAACCAAAAGTGGGTCTACAACACCAACGCGCGCCGCATCGAGCACGGCACGCACCAAGGTCTCTGCGTCGTCGGTGGCTCCGCGGGTACCAAGGCGCGCGTCGAGCCGTGCAGCCAGAGCCTCCTCCAATACTTTAGCGACTGCAAGGGCTCGTCCAGTGTCAGCGTCCACCTTCAGACGTGCTACACTGACTCGTGGCTCTCCGAGTACGACACGGGCCTCTACGCCGACAAGCTCCGCAACAATGCCAACGAGAACTTTGCGTACGACCCCGTCGCGCAGACCCTCCAAGTCGGCAGCAACGGCCAGTGCCTTGACGCCTTCTCGACGGGCGACGGCAAGTTTGGCCTTCACACGTACGCGTGCGACGCAAAGAACTCGAACCAAAAGTGGATCCTCCAAGACAAACTGGTCAAGCACGCGACGTTCAACAACCTCTGCCTCGATGCCGACCCGACCGACAACAGCCACAAGGCGCAGGTCTGGGACTGCACGGCGTACAACAAGAACCAGTGCTGGAACATTTTGCGTGTCTAAAAACACCACATTCATACCGAGGCGAAGCCAACGTTGGTGTATACCTAGTCGTTGCGACTATAAACATTACCTCTTGTGTGTTTTCGTTGCATGGGATTGTGGTGTGCCAACAAGCGGACCAGATGGAAAAGGAAGATAAAGTCGTGGGGTCAGCTCGGAAATCTTGCTGCAAATGTATACGTCAAACCATGCTACTGGACGTTTTCGCTCGACGAAGCTGCATCGAAAGACTACTTTGGAAAGGTCCTTTATGGACGCCACCAGCGTCGAGGTGGGCGGAATACCCTCCTCGACGGTGTACAGACATATTCTGCGTTAATTGACAAAAGATCTGAAAAGCGTGGGATTTTACCCATGTGTTGGGCATTTTAGAGCAATGCCAGCCGTACGATTGGCCCTGGAACGACATGTGGCGTTGGTAATCCTACTTGGTATATCTATGTCAATACTGAATGCAAGCTAATAAGTTCTGCTTGTAACACAACACATATTTTGTATTGGTACACTCAACACGGGCTTATTTTTGTCAATTAACGCGGTTGTCAATTAACGCAGAAGATGTCTGTACGTGGCGCAACAGGCGCCTGTCTCATTTGGTAGAGTGCTGGTCAAATGGATATCAAGAATGATGGTCTAGATCCCAAACCGACTCTGTCGCTGCACCACTCGATTAGAATCGCCTTTACTATAGTATAGTATGTTATAAAACAGCCACCGAGCACCAGGAGATCCAGACGCTGAGGCAATACCCAGTTTCCTGGTGACCAGAAACTTTGACGTCCTTTTCGAGCCATCAACATCTCCAAAGCTCCTCCGAACGTCGATGTCCCGCGGGCTTGCGATACGTTGTGCCCAAGCTGTTGCACTGGACGAAGCCAAAGAGTGCGTACCGGTTATACGTTATGTACTCTGTCTGTGTGTGTCGCTACTCGTGCCGTTACTGGTATAGACGTATCTCGACTCTACCGAGTGATCGCTGTCGTCTTTAGTAGAGAGGCTACGGTCTATTCCAATCCACGCTATCATTTGATCGAAAGTCCATTGCAGCCAAAACCTTTGTGCTTTTTCATCGCTCGTATACTTCAACCACAGACTCCGTCCCGATTTCTGACAACTTGTTTTCTAAATGTGAGAAGAGGCGTGACCCAATCATTCTCTTGTGTACACCACATCATCTGGAGCGCAGACCTGCTATGTTTGTGCGTTGCGTACAAAGTATAGTAAGCTTCTCGTTACGACCCATGTTCTTCACATGTTGTGGAACTGAAAACCTTCCTTGGCTTCGGCAATGCACGCCGCAGGACGAGGCGACGTGAGAGCTTGTCGTTGCATTAACCGGTAGCCTCCACACCTCTTCACTATCGAGCCCCACCTGCGCACACAGATACCTTGGAGCGACCCAGAGGGTTAAGTGTCCACTTCCGCC